TATGGCCACAAATTATTACCTTACCAAAGTCATGGCCATGAATTATTACATTATTATAATATAATAATTATTCTAATTATTATTGCATTGCCTCGACTTTGGCAATGTAATAATTTAATTTAAAATAAAATAACAAAATGGTGGCCATGAATGAATACATTGCCAAAAAACATGGCTACGAATGATTACATTGCCAAAAAAGTGGCCGTGAATGATTATATTGCCAAAATACATGGCTAAGTATGACTATGAATGATTATATTGCCAAAAAAATGGCTCTGAATGACTACATTGCCAAAAAAGCATGGCTAAGAATTATTACATTGCCAAAACATATTGCCATGAATGATTACATGGCTCGGTAGACTACATTGCCAAAAAACACTGCCAAATTCATGGCCATGAATGATTACATTGCCAAAAAACATGGCTATGAATGATGACATTGCCAAAAACGTGGCTGTGAAAGATTACGTTGCCAAAGTCGTGGCCATGAATGATTACATTGCCAAAAAACATGGCTACGCATGATTACAAACATGAGCCATGAGCCCATAATTTAAAATGTTGTGGAACGTCAAACTTAATACGTCACCTCCAGCTAATTATTTGGCAGGAATGGACGAAAAAGTCTATTCACTTTGATAATTCACTAAAGGTGACACAAGCTATTGGTATAAACATTACATTGCCACAAATCGTGGCCACGAATGATTACATTTACGAAAGTCCTAACGTTCAATAACTAACTATTTCGCTGGCTAAAGCTGGTTAAAGCGCAATCCTGCGTTATATTGTGTATTAAATGTCGTATTTTATGTTAAGAATGACGTTGAGCTACGTTGACAAAAGCACAAAAGAAACACAGGTGGTGATGTAATGATTTATGATTGGTTGAGCTTAATTTGATCAACACGTCGTTCTCCTTAAAGTTTCTCCTTAAACGTGAAAACATCTTGGATGTTCTGAGATATTTTGGACTTTGAAAGAAAATGTTTGGACTTACAGGAAGATAGAGAAGCATGGCACCTGACAGGATGGCCTCAAGAAGAATAAAACCAGACGCTTTGATTCTCTGAAATAGAGTGAGAGAGAGAGAGTGAGAGAGAGAGAGAGAGATGTTTAAAAAGTCAATTGTTCAGTAACTAACTCCATAATTTTTTTTTTTTTGAAATGTAATTTTTTCACACTTGATTTGAAGGTTGTCTACATAAGGACTTCATGGCACATGCATAACAGGTTTATAGAATAAAGCATGGGATTCTGTGAACAGCTTACAGTATGTCATCTTATTTGCAAGACAGCATGTGATGTTTGGCCAAAAAGTAAATACTTGTCATAGGACTTCATAACACACTCATTGTAGTGGCATTATACTTCATAGCAGTGTTATAAATAAAGTGTATGTCCATCTCTTTCTCGCTGTATCTGGTTATAAAGCAGAGTAATGTCATTCGTGAGCATGGCAGTGAGGACGTGGTGTGAAATGAGGCTTCATGAATGCAGTGTTAGTACATTATGCATGTGTTATGTATGTCATATGAACTAACGTAATCAACATCTATGACATGCTACTCATTACCTCTTTGCTATGTTATTCAGTGCTTATGAGTATGTTATGGAGTGTCTTTTACATAAATATAAGTCCATACAACATAATCAGTCCATATACAGTACATAAATGAATGTGCCTATAGGTTATGTAGTCCTGTATTCAGGTTTTACTTCTTATGGTAATTCATTGCATGTCGTTCTTGTACCTTGTTGCGACGGAAGCGGTACACCACAGTCATGCAGATGAAGTCGAGCAGCACACACAGGCTCTGGAACGAGACAACGGCGAGGCGGAGGATGCCATCCTCCTGCGCCAGACACGGTGTATCATCCCGACAGAACACACAGCCATCCTGACACGGCAGACAGCGAGCCGGCACGTCGGAGGGTTCGGCCCCAACATAATGATCCCGTTCCAATTCTGACACACCACACACACTCTGAATTAGCATTTGGGTGGAATTTGTGATTAAAATCTCATAACACATGTGTGAATGCTTATGTAGACAATGCACAAGGCAGCGTTATTAATTACTGATTTGTAAGTTGAAAGCATATAAATAGACACCTGGATTCAATGTCCTTAAAAACATAATAAAACGTTTAACAATATAAACATTCATGAACCATTATGTAGACTGACTTCAGCTTTAAAAAATGGCTATAGAGTGTTTATAGCCATGTTATGTATCAATAAATGTCCAAGGAAGGTCCTTTATAAGCCTTAAGTTTCATAACACATAGTTGCACTCACTCTGTGTTCTCACCAGCAGACACTCTTGTAGTTTGTTGCTTGTGGGCGTGGCCTGTCCAGCCCTTTTTGTTTATTTCTGATGAGAAGCTCTAGTAGCTATATATAACTTCTAAAGCTAGCTAGTTAAACGCAACTTAAATCAGGGTGAGTTGTTTGATTTACATGTTAAACGTTGTACTAGCTGCATCATCAGATAGGACTAGCTAAGCAGGCTAACTGTACTAGCTATGTACACTCACCACTGCTTCCGTCCAAGCTTTATTTTTCCTCGTAATGTCTCTATACATATTTAATGAGAGGTCATATATGACAGGATAATATGAAAAAATGTTTATACGGTTTTCTTCCAACAGTTCCAAGCAGGTAGGAACTACAGTCGTGGGATTGGTCTGAGAAATCATCTGAGCTGTTTAATCGTTTGGATTCCTCACTTCTTTACAGCATCATACCTAATTTGCATAGAATTGAGGAGCTGAATGGCTTAAATTGTGGCTCAGGGTCAAGTACATACATAAAGAAATGTTGCTTGCGAGTGCGAACGCAGGGTTAGACATATTGTGTAAATCAAATGGCACTGTAAGCCATATAAACACCATCATCAGTCCAATGTGGACGTATCCCAAATCACACACCATATTCCCTATTCACTACTTTTACACCTTTGGTTTGAATTATAGACTGATGAAGCTGTAAATCCGCTTTTATGTCGATCCCTTGGCATTTTTACCACGCTGTTATCACTTCATTAATAAACAGCGCAGACTCGTGTCATTAGTGACTCATCACCTATTTTTAGGGGTGTGTGTGAGAGAGAGTGAGAGGATGAGAAAAGTGAGCAGGATGTTGCCCATAGCAACTAGGATTCACCATGTGGCAGTATTTGTGTGGTTTTTCTACTTTGTGCAAGAAGCAGATTAAAAAATACATCTTTTTGTTCATCTCAAAAGAATAGTACATGATTTTTTAGAAAACACCGAACCGTCTTAATTTGTCAACACACACATGCACACACACACATCCCTGTTAATTACTTAATTACACCCCCCCCCCCCAAACAAAAAACCACATTAAACAGCTCTTTGTGTTACATGTTCGTGTGGAAATAGTTGTTTAGACATTATATTGCGATATTCAACTTATATTATTGTTATCACCACGAACGCACTCTGAGAAGATGAAATGATGTAATTACAGACTGCCGAAACCGAGACAAAAGCAGTAAACGAGTCATCACATGCATCTATGAATAAACATGTGTTCGACCTGCCTCAGGTAAGTGATTGTATACACTACATAAAGTATAATGAAGAGCTTCACTGAGGCGTGTCCCAAATTACACCCTGTTCACTACACAGGAAACCTAAACACCATCACAAACTCATCATCAGCCACCAAACCACATGCTCTATTCCCTATGAGTACAGAAATCAGTATTCAGATGTAACTACAGCTTTAAGCGCTGTTAAGACGTTATGCAAGAGTTACGAACACTGGGCTGAGTTTGTCTAAAATGGAGGCGTGTTTCAGTTACGCACAATTCTGACCTTGAACGTAAGCGAAGGTTACGTAAGTTTTCTTGCGTGATAATAGGTTGAGTGAGCAGCAGTCCAGCACCACCATCTGACAGTTTGATGTAACCACCAGCGTTCTTGCTGAAATTAACGTTTTGGCTGTAAAGACACTCAAAAACACTATGGAATGTCATTCTAGACCAATATTAAACACATAAATATGACACTATTCATTAATTAATCATTTCATCCCCAGATGATCCATCCCCTTGGTCAGCTTATCCTTCAAACCGTGGGCATGCTTTCTTTACAAGACAGCGGACTGAATTAACAAAAACACTGGAATTATTTTATTAATTTGGCAAATTAAGATAGTGAATTAAAGGCATGATAAAGTAGCCAACATCCTGTACACACTTCATGATTTCTTGACCTCGATTTAGTATCTCGTGGCTCCATTAATGTGTTCACGAGTAACCATCGGAGCTCGATTAAAAAAATAATAATAATAATAATATTCTGTGCTGGATCAAGTGCTATTCTATGCGCTGGTGAATAATGACTGTGGAAGCCATTTTCTTAAATAAAACCATTGACTAAACTTGACTCCTGTTAAATTTGTTTCAACGCTCGCCATATTCTCATTAATGTATCATCGCAGGAGTCTTTTTATTTTTCAGTTTATATATATATATTGTGTTGAATATTCTCCACTATGCATAATAGTGTGCTCTGTAGCGAATAGAGTGTTGATTAGGACACGACACTCACTGGAGAAGCCGTTGAGTGCCACTCGGCTGTGTTGGTAAAACCCCCTCCTGCACTGGCACTTGTACTTGTCCAACACGAAGCCGTGGCCTGGAATCGGTTTACACTGAGGAGAGAGGGGAAACACTGTGAGCAGACATTCTGAGAACAATAAGCTCTAATCAAGAATCATAATGTACCTCATATAATTTTTTTCTGGAAATGACTAATTAAGGAATAAAACATATTGTGTGTCATGCTGTTACAGTAAAATAATGAGTGACATGGTCGTGTGCTGAAGCATAGTTACCATTACCACACTGACGTTGATTATTTTACTATAGCAGCATGTCCCCAAGTGTTTATTCCTGTTATACCACAGCAAGTTGCCCATGATTGCAATTTTTATTAAGTAATATATGACACATCATGGATCCTTGGAGGACCCTAGTGGTTAGGCCTTGGTGCTGTCACCACGGCGGCCCGGGTTCGATTCCCAGCCAGAGGATGGGCCTGCGTCAGGATGGGCACCTAGCATAAAAACTGTGCCAAATCAAATATGCGGACCACTGAGCCACTGTGGCGACCCCTAACGGGAGCAGTCAGAAGAAGAAGAACAAGAATATATATGACACATCATACTTTTAACTGTTTATAGCTTCATGATTTAATGTTGTGGAACGTCTGTGAAATAAGTTCTCATTTACAGCAGCCTTGAGAGCTGTAAATGGCTGAGCTAACCATAGCCCCCACCTCCATAGTAAGCCCCAAGAACCATGCCTCGTTCATCATGCCCCCGAGTACTATGACCTGAGTGAGGTTTTCAGCAAAGACGAGGCCAGAGGGCTACCCCCACATCGTCCCTATGATTGCACATCGAGCTGCTAGCTGGAACCACACCCCTCACAGCTGGGTCTATCCCCTGTCTGTGGCTGAGCAGCAGGTGATGGAGAAGTACATTCAGGAGGTGCTCCAGCAAGGGTACATCAGGCCATCCATATCCCCCTTGTCAGCTGGGTCCTTCTTCATGGAGAAAAAAGGGGGTGGTCTCAGGCCCTGTATTGACTCTTGGGAGCTTAACCAGTGCACAGTCAAGTACCAGCATCCTCTGCCCTTAGTCCCTGCCGCCCTGGTACAACTTCGGTCCACCCAGTTCTTCACCAAGCTTGACCTCCAGAGTGCTTTTAACCTCCTGTGCATTCATGAGGGGAACAAATGGAAAGCAGCCTTTAGCACCACCTCTGACCACTATGAGTATTGCGTGATGCAGTATAGTCATGTCTGCCAAGTCCTTCAGCACCTCCTGCAGCACCAGCTATACGTGAAGGGGGAGCTATTGACTGAGTCGGGCCATCTCTCATACCCCCCGGCAGCAGATTCCGCCATCATGCCCTCCAAATAAGCTCTATGTCCCTACCCACCTGAGAACCAGACTCATTACCTGGGCCCAAACCTCCAATGCAACTGGCCACCCAGGAACCCAGCACACCTACCATATGCTGTGGAACAAGGATTGGTGGCAGAGTATGTTTGCAGATGTGCACTGTGCCGTCTCTTCCTGTACTGCCTGCACGCAAGCCAAAGCACCCCGAACCCTGCCCGCCGGTAAGCTCCTACTGCTGCCCACACCCCAATGGCCCTGGTCATACCTGGCGATCAATTTCCTCACTGATCTGCTGGAGTCCCGAGGTAACACCACCATCTTAGTAGCAACTGACTACTTTTCAAAGTCCCTGCCTTATCCCACTCCCTAGCCTCCCCTCTGCTTTTGCTACAGCCGAGCTCCTTTTTACCCATGTGTTCCGGTACTTTGGGATCCACATTGTGACATTGTGAGTGACCGGGTTCCACAGTTCACCTCCCATGTGTGGGTTAGCTTCATGGAGAAACTGGGGAAGACCTTCAGCCTAACCTCAGGGTACCACCCACAAGCCATATAAACACCATCATCAGTCCAATATCTGTCCGGTCAACCCAGACAACAAACTTCAGTTCCCAACAAGCACCATGGCCTACAAACATGGCTGCCCCAGACTCCACTTCCCAGAACACACACACACACACACACACACACACACAAACTACCTCGCTCTCAGTCACTGGACTTTTGATTATGCACACCTGGTTTCAATTACACACACTCACCCTTTAAAAGGGACTTTCATTCATAAACCAGTTGCGAACTATACGCTCAGCTTACCTGTGTTTCTTATGTTACCAAGCCTGTTTTCTCGCCACAGCTGTTCTGCTTTGACCTTGATCTTCTTCCTCGTTTTTCTGAGTTTTGCCTAGCCTAGTGTATCCTGTTTGCCAGTCGCCTGACCTAAGCCTATTTTTGACTTTGACTTTGCCTAGTGTTTTGGATTGTTTGCTCGGACTTTCATTAAAGCTGTTCTTCCTGTAATTGTATCTGTCTAAGTCACCATTACATGACAAGAACAAGTGTGTTAATATAAACCTGCGATTTGATTAGAAAATTAATCAACACCTTCTAAGCAATCAGAATCCAGAATTCGACAGCCATTCATGCAACCGAATGGAAGTAACTCTAGTAAAAAGAAAAGGAGAGTGTGTTGGATAATTTTCCCTCAGTTTAAAAAATTTATCTTTATTTTCTGAGGTTTTTTTTTTTTTTTTTTAATTACAGTTTTGTGTGAAAAAAAAAATTTGCATGCTGATTTAGTAACAGGGTCTGCAGAGGATTGTGTGTTTCACATAAGCAAAATGTAACTCTCTTTTTATATCTCTGCTGTGTTAATTATGAGCATCTTGTGGATTTCAGTAAAGTACAACACTCTAATCAACAGCAAAATTTATTGGTTTTCGGCATGAACTTTAACCACAGAGCTCCAGAAGGAAAGTGGAAATAATAACTAGCAGCTCACGCTAAAAGTGTCGAGGCTGGAAGGATTGTAAATTGTAGGTCTCTTTTACTTTAAATAGCAGCTCTTCATCACACACACACACACACACACACGCCTGTCTTCCCACCCAGCGAGAGCCCCCAGCACACGAAGCCCACTCGAGCAGATTTTAATTAACACAGGGCCAAGGCTCTGATTAGGGCTGGATGATAATTTGCACGCTGACACTCCTCCCTGTAGCGATGTAGGATGTTTGATCACTGCCTCCGAACCGCTTTTATTAGCCTCCATTTATCATCACTGCACATGTATTTATTAAATATGATCATCACAGAGTGGTGTGGGATCACCTTAGACAGGCCTTTCTTTGGCCGTGTGATAATCACTGACTAGCTTCTCAGCTTTACTGTAAAACTGCACACAATTTCAAGCACCCGCGATAATGAATCACTGTCCTCTTGTATTGTGAATATGTACAAGTTGAACGGTTAATGATTCTCCTCCACATAACACAAGAGATAAATTAATAAACTGCAACAAACAGATTAAACATCTGTGATTCTGTGAGTCGCAACTGTAATACAGCAACAGTGTTCCAGGATTATCTTAAATGACAGACAGACAGGACAGACACATAGTCAGTCAGAAGGGAAAGAAAGACAGACAATTAGACAAATGGAATAGTCAGGACAGACACAGTACAGAAAGACAGACAGATGGGACACAGACAGGACAGACGGACAGACAGATGGGACACAGACAGGACAGACGGACAGACAGATGGGACAGACAGATGGACAGAAAAGCAAACCATTGTTTCATTTAAGAAGGAATTATATTTTAGGAAATTATTGCAAATGAAACTGGAAACTTAAAATGGCAGACAGAAAGATAGACAGACAGGACAGTATGGCTGGACAGAAAGACAAATAAACAGCACAGACAGAAGGGACAGGTAGACAGATGGACAGATAGAACAAACAGAAAGACAGTCAGATGGGAGAGATGGACTGGACAGAAAGACAGACAGCTGGACAGGACAGATGAACAGACAGACAGATGACCATATGGGACAGACAGATGAGACAGACAGGACAGACAGACAGATGGGGCAGGTGAAACGGGTGGGACAGATGGACAGGTGTGACAGACAGATAAACGGGACAGACAGACAGATGGACAGAAAAGGGAACTGCTGTTTCATTTAAGAAGGAATTAATATTTAGGAAATGATTGCAACTTAATTGGAAACCTAAAAAGACAGGTGGCTAGACAGACAGGGCAGACAGACGGCACAGAAAAATGGGACAGATATGACAGACAGATGGGCCAGATGGACAGGACAGACGAACTGGACAGAAAGACAAACAGATGGACAGGACAGATTGTTGTTAGACAGATGGACATACCGGAGAGACAGACAGGACAGACAGATGAACAAACAGACAGACATGTGGACAGACAAATGGATAGACAGGCAGAGAGAATGGTGTAGACAGACAGAGACACACAGACAGGATAGATGGAGAGACAGTTGGGACAGACAGACAGGACAGACAGGACAAATGGACAAGTCACACAGCTGGGACAGACAGTCAGCACAGATGGACCGACAGGATAGAGTGACAGATAGATAGATAGACAGGATGGATGACCAGACGGAAAGGCAAGTGAACAGACAGACAAAGAGACAGAAATGCAATCTGCTGCTCCATTTAAAAAGAAAATGATTAGGTTTGTGTTATGGACATTTAGAAAGAACAGTTAATTGAAATCTGATGAGAAACAGACTGTACTGTGCTGTTAGAGGCAGAATTCATTGTGTGATATTATGAGCAGTCCAAAAATCAGAGTGGATCACTGTAGCGTGGGTTAATAAAGAGCAAGACAGCATCAAAACAAAACAATCCATAATCAAAACCAATAACAGGCCCAAGTCAGAAAGACAGAAGAAATGCACACTTACAATTAATGAGACGTCACAATGAGGAATGAAGTCAACAGGACACAGACAGAGCTGAACCCAGAACAGGTGCACACATTAGGGAAACAAACCAGTGATAAGATGGGGCAGGGACAGGACTAAAACCAAAAAAAAAAAAAGCACTTGGAAAATGAAACACAAAAATAAGCTCACTGGATTGGGGACTGAGTGGAAAGACTTCGTAACAAAGACTATTTAATGTTGGTGGGTAAAAGTGCTAAGAGTAAAATTAACAACCAAATGACTAAAATATAACTATTATGACAAAGATTAAAACTAACTGCTAAAATGCACACACTAAATAATCTGCCAATCAATAAAATGTGATAAAGCTCTATAAGAATGATACGTTAGCATATGTTTATTGACTTTGACTCTCCAGCATGAGGTGTTAATGTCAGTGCTTTCCTGCTCCTGCTGGTCTTTGTGCACGCTTAATGAACGATGGCAGATGTGTGTTCCCTCACACCAACTTCCTACTGATTTAGGACTTAAATGAGAGATCCAGAAATAATCCGAAATCTCAGCGGCACGAGTGCAGTGCGGCGGCTAATTAGCACCGTCAGAGCTGTGTTCACGCAGAAAAGAATGAATTTCAACTCATCTGAAATCCAAATAAACCTAATGAGCTCCTGAACAGCCTGGAGGAAGATTTGCTTC